TTTTTTAATTTTTCCATTATAAATTCTGATGCTGTTTATGGTTGTCATCTCTGTCCTAATTACACTGAAAATTTTATTTACTTATCCATGTAAAGGCCTTTTAGTAAGAAAATTTCTATGACAGTTAACTTCTTCAGCACGAAGAAACACTGTTTGCAGCATGGAGAGGTACCCCTCTCCAAGGACCTGCATATTCAGGCCCTAGGTTAGCTCTTACTCGCTCAATATGTTCTGTTCTTTTCTGAAGATTACATCATGGATCTCCTGGGCCTCTGCGATAGGAAGAAATGGGACAAAGAAAAATGATACTTTAGGACAGTGAAATGCTGAGTAAACAAAACACTGCTTAGCAACAAAACCCATTTGTGTTCCAAGTATCCTCACTCCCCTAGCTTCATGAATATTAGCAGAAGCTGGTTCTTGCTCCCACACAATTGGGGAATATATGAGTTGAGCCAGGCTGGCTTAAAACTAAATATCCCTGTGATGCAGAGTGAGGAGCTCAGTAGTGTAGAGCGAGCAGAGATTTCCTTACAATATTGTGAAGGTGGAGACAAAGCTGTTGAGTAACAAGTTTGCTGGGCAGGAAGAGCTCTATCTCAGGATGGTGCCCTTGTTCTGCCCACTTTTCTAGGGGCTTTAAGTTAATCAGCATCTTAGGCTTTGTTGCTAGGATGAGCTCGTTGCTAAGGTGGTCTGAGATTTGTGGAGTTCTAGAGGGTTTCATCTTATTCTTAAAGACGAAAGTAGGTCTGTAAGAATAACTGTTCTATACCTGTAAAGATCTCACAAAGGGCAATTTCCAGAAACCAGGTGGTCATTTCTATAGCTGTTTGACACATCAGCCATGTCCTACATCTCTGCCTGTCTCCCCTTTTCACTGTTCCTGCATGTCCCCCTTTACCCTATCACCTTATTGACATAGGATGAAGACTAGGTGGGGATCTTGCCTTTTCCCTCTTGTGGTTGACACTTGGCTGATTGGACATTGAGCTTGTTGCTAGGGGATTGGTCTTGTGGGATACCAGGGGATTTGGGGAGGCCATGCCAACCTGCATTAGGAGGGACAGTGTTGCCTGCACAGAGGCAGGTATCAAAACCAGACAGCTCTAGATCACAAAGCTGCTTGAGGACTGCTTGTTGCCTGTAGCCACACAGAGCCTATATTTTCTCACTTCTAAAAAGGGCTTGGGCCTTTTAGTATTCCCTGGGGGTCCCTTCAGCTCTTATAGGTGTAAGGTCTGGTGGGAAAGGCCAGGTGTGGAGCTCCACTTGGAAAGGTCTGTCTCCCTTCCTGACTCCTCCCTTCTCCCTCTGCTTCCTGGCCACCATGACCTGAGTAGTTTTCCTCCATCCCAGCCTTCCACCTAGCCATCTTGGTGATTCAGCCTGCCAAAGAAGGAATGAGATTCTGAAACTGTCAGAATGGCACTATTTAATGGAGAAATAAGCTTGCTCTTGTAATGATACCACGCAAACATGAAAACAATTTAATGCTATTTAAATTCTGTGTTGTATGTTATCAGAAGGTGAGTATCTGGGTTACTTTTCTCTCATTGCTGGGACAAAATACCTGCCACTCAAGATTAAGGAAGGAAGGGTTATTTAGCCCAGTTTGTAGAGGTTTCAGTCTGTACTTGGCTGGTTCCAAGGCAGGGTGGCACATGGCAGAGGGCAGCAAGAGCAAAAAGGGAAGAGTAGCAACTGTGGCAGCTAGCAAGCCCCTCTCTCTTCCTTGTACTGTATTCAGGATGTCCACCCCAGGGCAAGTGTAGCTCTCTCACCCATAATCCCAGCATTGGGTCATGAATTAATCACAAACTCTAGACGCCACCCCAATGACTGCACGAGCCTTTGGGGGAATAGCCAAACACAAACCATCACAGTGGACATCAAATAAAAAATGCAATATATAGAAAACACCTAATGATGATGTAAGCAGAATAATAATACCAGTAGATTATAGGATCATCTCCATGTCACAAGTCATTAAAAGCACCTTGACATCTTCCTTTGCTTCAGGATCCTCAACCTATATAAGTGGCTTTTCACTGTAGAAAGCGTAGGACAGGGGCTGGGGAGATGGCTCAGTAGGATAAACGCTTCCCTGGCAAGCGCAAGGGCCTGAGTTCAATCCCTGGTTCTGCCAAAAAAAAAAAAAGTGTAGGACATTTGGTAAAGTGCAACATGTGGAATCTGGGGATATATAAGGCCAACTGAACAGTCTTCCAGTTGGAATGAAATTTAAAAATGGCTTTATAACTGGTCATTTAAGGCATTATATTCATTAATAAATATACATAACAAATACATTTATCATGGAGAGTTGGTACATAATCATATTGTATATTAGTGGTTTTTTATTTTTCTTTTTTCTTTGTATTTAGGACAGGGTGTACAGGGTCTCACCGCATAGATTAGATTTATAGCAATCCTCCTGTTTACAATCCAAGTGCTGGGATTATAGGCGTGCGTTCACCACGCCCAGTCTCAATCCCAGTCTCAGTGCACCCCGAGGGTAGGGCCAGTACAGCAGGCCCCTGCTTCTGCCTAAACAGGTGCTTTAATCAGCAGAGCTATTATTTTTCATTCCTTTTTCTTTTCCCCTTCAGTTTTACAATCCTCTTTTTTTAATGCATTTGGTACAAGGCCTCAGTACGCAGCTCAGACTCAGTGATCCTCCTGTTTTCAGCCTCCCCGATGCTGGGATTACAGTCCACCATCACGCCTGGACTCATTCACTGGTTCATAGCACCCCAGGGGTGGGGCCGGCACAGCTTATGTGACTGGGGACGGAACCCTGGTCCCCGCGCTTGCCAAAGCAGGTGCTTACTCCGCTGAGCTATCTTATTGGCCCTACAGCCCCTTTCCTATCTGTGAAAGGAAACCTGTTTCCTGCTCTGTTTTACTTTCTCTTTATTCATTTATCCTTTGGGTTCACCATTTAACAGAAATCATGTCATATTTAACCTGCATCTGATTTATTTCAATTAGATTAGGGTCTCAATATTCTTATCTCATTATCAAAAAATGTGATTTGCTGAATCCTGAAGTCTTTCCACAAAAATCATCCTACATTTTTCATACCCTATACTTATACATATCATTATTAAGGACCCATAAATTTCATTTAACTGTTTTAGACCTGAGTTCTTACCTGAAAAATTAGGTTGGATCTGTTCTAATATACCCCAGAACTAAAAAACTTCAGTTCAATAGCCAGATCCTTAATAACTAAAACAATTTTTGAACTCGTGGCATAAGCACAGGACATAGTATAGGGGAGTATAGACAGAACCACAATTAACTTTTTGAAAAACCAATTTTTCTTTAAGATTTGGGGACTAGGTTTGGGTTTTTCCTTTAAGTACAATGTGTTTTTTAAAAATTTTTTTCGAGCATGTATCGAACTAGAGACCTATATTAGAAAGAAATACAAAATTTCACTAAATTTTAAAGTAAAAATAAAGTGTGGGGGCATATCCTTGAGGTTGCTGACTTCAATTCTGCCGTCCAAAGTCAGGACTTATTTGCTACTGCCCTCAGGAAATGACACGGGTTCTGATTAAGAGATTAAGACTTGGAAGTAAAACGTGCCCTCCGTGTCTACATTCCACTCACGAACTGCTTTATTGCAGAACTCTTCCTAAGGGAAGGTTGGATTTTACTTCTTAAATCTGCCCCATCTTGCTTCTAGTTTTGTGAAATCTCTACTTTAAAAAAAAAACAAACAAAAAACCACAAGGCCAACATCCAGTCTTCACAAGCATACCCACAGGGAATGACAATACAGTTGACTTATATTTCTCAACTCATTTTATACATGATGGATGTTTATTGACTTCACTTATAAGCCCTATTTTGAATGCCACACACATAACCTTGGCTTTTTAAAGTTTTTTTTTTTTTTTTAGTGAGGGTTGGCTTCAGATTCCTGGTGATCCTCCTGCCTCAGCCTCAGGATTGCTCGGATTATAGGCATGTACCACCACACCCAGCCAACATTTTCTATAGGAATTTTTCAAGTGCCAAAGAAAAAAACTGAACCAAAAGCAGAGTATTCTATCCCAAAAGGGCAAAAGAAACTTTTCTTTTTTTCTTTCTTTTTTTTTTCTTTTTGTAGAACCAGGGATTGAACTCAGGCCTTTTTGCCAGGGAAGCGCTTATTCCACTGAACCATCTCCCCAGCCCCAAAAGAAACCTTACTACATGAAAATTTAAATAACGTAATCTCAAAATCCGATTGAATTAGAGTTCATTTATTCTCTACAAATATTATTTGTGGTACAAAAAGTTTGAATAAAGTAGATACGCAACATACAGATGGCTAAAAATCATTTTTACTTATTCAATACAGAGGACAAATTTTCCCTTTCTCTTCAATTTAAAAATTATTTTTAAAGAGCTGCTTTCATTTTCACGGGCCCCAAAGGGCATGCAGGTATAAACGGAAGCCACCAGCACGTGCCACCAGGGACTCACCCTCCTCGAGCCTGGGGCTGCGACACTCCGGCGAGCGCGCTCCCGAAGGCCGGGCCGGCCTGGGGCGGGCAGAGCCGCGGATCAGCTCAGCTTGGGGCGCTGCGGACCGGCTCGCGGGGAGCGCCCCAATACGCGGGCGCCTCGGTTCCGTCCGGACTGAAGCTCAGAAGTAGCGGCCTAAGGTGGCTGCACGCGAACGCTGGGGGATGCTCCCACGCAGAGGCTCAGCCCATCACCAGCCGGATCCCCGGTCCCCCGACTCCCCGACCCTCCAACTCCCCAGCCCCCAAGCCCCTTAACCCCCAGGACCCCGAACCCCCAACTCCCCAGGACCCCCAGCCCGCGGCCCACCTCCTCTGGCCCCCCGACTCCCCGATCCCCGGCCCCACGCAGCCAGCTCAGGACAGCCCCCGAGGGCGCCACGCCCCGGCGCCGGCGGGCTGACCCGGAAGTGCTCCGCGGCGGCGGCGGCGCGCAGAAGACGGCGCGCGCTCCCGAGCTCCCGCCCGCGGCCCGGCTCTCCCGGAGGCGCGCTCCAGCCGCCGCGGCCGCCTCCAACATGGCCGAGAGCAGCGAGGAGGTGGCGGTGCTGGTGCAGCGGGTGGTGAAGGACATCACCAACGCCTTCCGGAGGAACCCGCACATGTGAGTCGCGCGCCCCTGCGCCCGGGGCCCTGCGCGGTGGGGGGCGGCCGGGCCGCTCGGGGGGCGACGCTGGGCGGCGGGCGCCCCGGCCCGGGCCCTGGAGCCCTTGGGAGCGGAGCGCGGACGGACGGGCGGACCTTTGTGGGCGCCGCGGGGCTGCCCTCCCCTCGCCGGGCCGCGCCGGCGGACGCGTCCCCCGGGCGACCTCGGAAGTCCACGCCGAGCGCCTTGGCCTCGCTCGCCCTCCCGCCCTTTCCCAGGAGTTCGCGGAACTCCGAGGACTCCCGAGGTCCCCGGCCTGGCGGCGGGAGCCGTGCCTGGGGCTGGAAACGCCACTCCCGAGACGCGTCCCGGGCGTTGCTAGGAGCCGTCGCCGATCTTCTGGCTGCCGAGGAGCAAAACCCAAACCCCCAGACCTTGGTCTCCCCAATTGAAGGCACTCTGAGCGACTTTGGACTCTAGACTCACTTGTCAATCGCTCCGATAAAACACGATGCTTTGGACGTAAACCGCGTTCGTAGGACTCAGTAGTGCCGTGTGTGTGTGTGTGTGTGTGTGTGTGTGTGTGTGTGTGTAAGGCAGATGAAACTCGGACACCTGGTTACAGGGGAGCGTGTGAACGTGGGTGTCCCGCGCTGCTGCGCTCTTTATCAGGTGACTATAGAAGCGAAACGCGCGTCTCTGCCTCTCCATCTCCATCTCCCTTTTGCTTGGAGTAGGCTGCGAAGACAGCGCGGTGTGGTACACTTTCTGAAAGTTTGTCCTCACTTGACGAGCGAGAAGGAAGCTGTGGGAGTTATCTATCACATTATGAGGAAGAGGCAAGATCCCTCTGCCTTCCGGGAAAGAATCTGGAATCCACTTTTGCATTATGTTTACTTTGTGGGGTTTATTTTTAATAATTCATCCTTTCAAAACAATAATTCATCCTTTAAACTGGAGCACATGAATTATTCTTTTCAAAGCATTCCAACCCCTTCAGCTTTTTTGGCATGAAAGAAGTGTCAAGCCTGCATCTAAATGAAGAGTTCTTTTCCACCCAGATCATATTTATAAGAGAGTTAAGAAAGCCCTCAGATGTCAGTTCCCTTGTGTACAGTGGGAGAACTGCCACTGTGTGCTTCATTAAAATCAAAACACTGCTGACCTCAAAACACACCTGCCACCTCCAGCGTCCTCCTTTTCCTTTCCACTTATGACTGCTGCCTTTTTCAAAACGAGTGTTTGGAGTGATTTCCTGGTAACCATGGTGGTTGGTGGGCCTCCTGAAGAATGCTTTGATGCCTTGTGTGTCAGTCTCAATAGAGAGACATCCTCAAACAAAAAAAAGTTGGGAAAATGAAGGACTTATTTTCTGATCATTCTCATTACTTTTCTAGAAGAAATACAGAACAGGTTAGGAGTCAAAGGCAGTAATCACTTTAGGTTCCCTTGTTTGAGGTAGATTAAAGGAATATCATGTTTGAAGAAAGTGTAGCTGTTAATTGGTTTGTAGGTTGATACTGCAATTTGAAACACGTCCCAGTTCTTCTGGATCACATTTATCAAAACTCATGAAGAACTTTAATGTCCCTATTTTATTAAATATGTTGACGTTGTCTACATAGAACTATCTAGCCAAAGCAGCCTAAGATGCATTGAGACATGGTATTTATTGGTGTCAGATCTGGATAGATTACCCTCTTTCAGCCTTAGTTTCCTCTTGATCTTAGAAGGTTGATCAGAACACAGGAAAATCACCTCACACAGTACTAGTTGCCCCTTGATGAATGTGAGGAACTTTGCAAATGGGAAAATACCATACAAAATCAAACAAAACGTTGTTGGATCTCCACACAGTTGAATCATGGAGGATCCTCCTTAACCCAGGAATAGGCATTCCCCATCCTAATGTCTGCTGCTGTTATCATCTTAGTTGGACACATCCTGCGTTCTTAGGGAAGACAGCTGTTTGCATTGTAATTAAGGTTAAGATTCCCTTACCCAGCAAATTGTGCGTTGTTTTTTATTTTACTTCATTGAATGTTTTGTTTATAGAATACTTAATTGCTCTTTTGAGTTGCTAAAGGTACTATCTTCACTACATAAGATAAGGGGCTGGGGAGATGACTCAGTAGAATAAGTGCTTCCCTGGAAAGCACAAGGGCCTGAATTCAATCCCCGGTTCTGCAAAAAAAAAAAAAATTCACTATATAAGATAGAAGTAAGAAGTACTTGTACTTGGGAATGTTCTAGAACTGCTGCTGTATTATCCATGTGTATCTATTAAGCACTTGAAATGTGCTAATGTGAGTGAGGAACTGAACTTTGAAATATAATTGATCTATATAGAATGGTCCTATATGTCCAGTGAGTAGTCGATTTCATGGTTTGCATCTAGATGGAGGCTGAAAACCTACCTACATGAAGAGTAAATTCCTCAGAGCAGTTTAGGGTAAAGGTTGCATCACTGACATGTTGAGCACTTGGCCAAGTCCCTTAGGAGTAGAGCGGAGGCTGGGTGACTCTGGGCCAGGACTCCTACAAGGTTTTACATGTCAGGGGGAGCCAAAGACTTCTACTGGGAGCAGGGAATTGGTCAAATGTAGCAAAATGTGATTTACAGGGTGCAGTAGAACAGATTATGGAAGTTCTTGACTCTTGGGTCTAATTTATTTTTTCTGTTTATACATTTAACAAAAAAGCCACATCATAACATGATACTGCTCTCTGAATATACTGTAAAGGGCTATGAGCTGGGATAGACTGGTAAGAAGAATAGACATAGTTCTTACCTTTATTAGAGCCTTAAAAAATTCAACACACAGCTTGAAAAGAGGCAAAACCTATAAGAAAGATACTTTGAAAAAATTAACAGTGATTCCCTAGGTTTTTTTTTGTTTTGTTTTGTTTTGTTTTTGTATTTAGGGCAGGTTCTACAGACTATACAGCGTCTCACTGCATAGAACAGACACGTAGTGATCCTCCTGTTTATAGCCTCCCAAGTGCTGGGATTACAGGTGTGTACCACCATGCCGACTCAATCAGAGTCTCACTGCGCCCAGGGGGAGGGGCCAGGGATCAAACTCCTGGCCCCTGCTGTCTGCCTAAGCAGGCACTTAGATCCGCTGAGCTTTTTGGCCAGCCCTCCCCTATTTAGTCTTAAGCTCAAGATTTTCTTTTTCTTTTTCTTGAGGAAATAGCATTTAAGTTGAGACATGAGGAATGAATATCGAAGCAGTAGATAGGCTCTAATGAAACATTTAGAGTAAAGGAACAGTAATAAATGATAGTTTTAGTTTGCCCCTGCAGATTGAATTAAAGAATAGAAAGTCAGAGTCATCTTACATTTGTTTTATTTACTTGTATTTATTTAAGCAATGAGATAGTTGTGAAAGTTTGGATTTAGCATTTCTAATCCTGGATTTGAGGCCTTAGGTATTCTTATTCTAACTGGATAGACTTAAGTGTATGTATGGCACAGAGTCAGTACTCACGTGATATGAATCCCCAGCTTCGTGTGGAAGCGATATTCTCATTGTGAAGCAAGGCACTCAGACGTTTCATACTGCATCTGATCTTTAAGAGTAACCTAAGATTCCCTTGTGGTGTCTTCTTTAGCACAAGGGGTTAGAACTTCAGTTTGGTCCCAAACCTTGATGTCTTTAAAAATCACTGATAAATACCAGGAATCGTAAATGACTAGAAACTTAACAGTGAAACAGTGAAATGAACTGGTGGAAAAAGCATCACAAATCTTACAAGATTGATTTGTGAGGAAATAACAAGAAACCTGTTTGGTATTTATAGCACATTCATTGCAGCCATTGAGAGTAATTATGTAAGAAAATGTGCGTGAATGGCTAAGTTTTCTTTAAAAAAAAAAGATTAACTTCAGTATGATCCTACTTTTTGCAAAATACGATGAAAGGATACATGTTCAAACACTTTAAGTGGTGACAAATGGCTTTTACTTTGTGTTTTTCTTGTTTTCCTTCTTTTTTTGAGTATGAAGTTAGACTTTAAACTGCCAGAAGCCCAGAAGGAATTGCTCTAAATATTATTTTGCTCTTCAGTCTAGGGTTCTCCGGTAAGTATTACCGGGGCCCAGATTCTTAATTGAGCAAGCAGTGTAGTCTTAGGCAATTCCTTTAACCATGCTGGATCTCAGTTTCCTCATCTGGTGAAATGAAAACGTACAAAAAGAAGGTCTAAATTTTTGCATTTATTCTTCTGCCAGGCCTGCTGGGGCATGCCTGTAATTCCAGCACAAGGGAGACTGAGGCAGAAGGATCATGTGACTTGAATGCCAGCCTGGGCTACATAGTGAGACCCTGTCCCCCAGAAAACAGCAGCATCTGAAAATGTGCATTGTGACCTAAGAGTATAGGCATAGAGGGCTGAAATCAAACACATTCTTATTTGGAAACTTACTGATCAACTTATCTTTTTTTAATGTATTTCATAGAGGGCCTCACTATGCAGCTCAGACTTGTAGTGATCCTCCTGCTTTCAGCCTCCCCAGCACTGGGATTGCAGGCATGCGCCACCAAGCCAGGTCTGGGTGGCTGGCTCATGATGTCAAGGGGTGGGGCCCGCGTGGCTTGTGGGGCCGGAATCAAACCATCTGTGCGCTTGGGTAGGCAGGCGCTTAGTTTGTTGAGCTCTCTCTCTGGTCTTGATCAACTTATCTTTATTGAGTGAATACTATGTATTTTAGAAAGCAGCAAACCGCTGTATTTTGTGTCATGAAACTTAACAAAGGCCTAACGTTGTTTGCCCCAGCTTTCCATTATATGTTAACCAGAGAACTTCCCTGGCTGACCTGTTGTATCTTAAAGAGTGAGAGAAGGTATTATTCCTGTGTTTTAGATGAGAATCCTGATGGCAAGTGACTTGACACATTCACATTGACTGTCAGTGGTAAAAAAGAGACTAGTTTTGCTTGTACATTTTACTGCCTCTTTTCATGTGGTGTTCTTTTTCCTAAAGCTTGACATTCTTTGTTATAACTTTTTATTTTTTTAAAAATACAAATGATGACAGAGTTTCTCTTAAAATTTGAAAGATGGATAAGGTCTGTACCCTTTATTAGAGATATGAGGCAGTTGCACCAATGAAGAACCCAAGGTCTGTAGAGGCCAAAGTGGCATTAAATATGACCCATGGTGTTTTCAGTACCGGTTGTTGTTACAAGAAAACCAGAGGTAGTATTCTTTTGTAAGGTTAAGGAGTGACAACATTTGAGAACAGTTTGAATGTTATTACTAAGTACTAGAATAATCAGTTTTTCTATAAGCAGTTATTGAGTACCTGCTATCTCCAATGGATTTTTGTTTTTAGAACTGTGTCTTAGAAGGGAAGGTTTTTAAAATTGTGCAGATGGTTTTGTCATGTAATTTAGGTACCAAATTAGTAGTTGGGCCTTTTATTTCTGGTACAACTAATGCTTTTACTGTGAATTTAATTTAAAACAAGGCTATGCCCAGCAGCCAGGATTCTTTTATTATTGTTACTATAACATTTATACTTTCAGCTTTTGCGATTCTTTGAAGTGGTATAAGTGGATATTAGATCTCAGAAGAATGTCCTGAAAAATTAAGTTGAGGACGTTTTCTTTAATTCTTGTTTTGTTTTTAATGTCCTACTTTATAAAGTAAAACCTGAACACCAGAAAATACATTAGTCTGGTACATCAGTGTATACCAGATTGTCATACGTTAGATACATCTTGTTACCCTAATAATGCGTCTGCTTTATTTCAAGGTTAATATCACCAAATATAAATGGAAATACATATTTTTAAATACTGGACATTCAACTCAAATGCATTCTCAACATTGCTTCTCTTCCAACAGAACTTTATTTATGTAACTGGAGGGGCAAAGTGATAACATTTTATCATAGTGACAGAACCTTTCAGAAAACTATTAGCTTTTTGAAGTCTAAGGCCACTTTATTTCATTCATTTTTGCATTTTGAGAATTTAAAAATACATTGCAGATACTAATATAGGAAGTACTATTGACAAGGTACTGGGGATACCTTTGAATGTACTGAACATATTTGTCAGGCCAAAATACTTTTTCAGAGTTAAATTAGTTTGAAAGAATTTTAGTGACTTGTATCCTTCAGAGTTCCCTTTTGTTATTGATCTACCTGTGTCTCTGCTGAAGTGATCAGTAGAAAATAGGCTACCTTTGGGCTATCCAGGTTTAGATTTCCAAGAGGAATTTTATTTGAGACCTACCAGTTCCTCCCAACTTATGATAGTAAGGATTTTTTTTTTTTTTTTTT